CCATGAACCTTCCCGCTCCCCCCTCCTTTGCCTCTCCAATGCACTCACCTGGTTTGTGAGGGGTTCATGTATGACACTCCCTCATTCCCTCCTCTCTCTCATCCCCACCACACTCTCATATTCACCAAACACTCTCATCCCCTCCACTCTCTCCCGTTCTTTCCCTGTCATCCTCTTCTCACCCCAACCACCCCCCACCCTCCCCATCAGGTACGTACTTGTCCTACTCGTAAGTTCATACGTGCAGGCGGGCTGGCCGCATCTCTTCTGCGTGCTCTTGTCTCACCAGGTTCTCCCCTCCCCGCATCCCCCCTTCCATTCCCTCCCAACCTTCCTCCCTTGCCAATTTTTTTTCTCACCAGATTCGCCCATGACCTTCTCGCCAAGGCACACGTGCAGGCGGGCATGGCACATCTCTTCTGCATGCTCTTGTCTCATCAGGCCCTCCCCTCCCCGCATTTCCTGCTCCCTCTCCCCCTTTCCTCCTCCCCCCTTCCCCCTCTTCCTCCCCTTTCCCCCTTGCTACCCTTTTTCTCACCAGATTCGCCCATGACCTTCTCGCCAAGGCACACGTGCAGGCGGGCAGGGCACATCTCTTCTGCGTGCAATCCCTCTCGCGCCTCCCTCCCCCTCTCGTCGCCCCCCTCCTCTCCTCCCTCACCCTCCTCCTCCTCTTCCTCCTCTGGTCCTCCCTCCACTCCCCCACCACCCAAGTCTCCCACTTCGCTCCCCCCTCCTCCCCCCTTTCCTCCCTCTCCACCCACTCCTCCGCTCTTACCGGCTCTCAACCCATCGTCAAGCATCTTCACCGCATGTCAAGAGCTGCTAGCAGCACACGGCAGGGCAGTGAGTGTGGCAGTGGGGGCGGATGAGGGAGGGCCGGGGGCAGCAGCAGCTGTAGCTGCCGCCGCCGCTGCTACAGCCACAACCGCCGCTGCCGCTGCAACTGCCGCTGCTGCTACAACCGCCGGTGCTGCCGCATCAGGCTCTGCCGAACCCCTTTCCAGCCAAAACCCACAGCAACCAGCACAACCAGAAACGCAATCCAAGCCCGTCATCCCAGGATCGACCCTCCTCACCGAACAAGCCCTGAAATCATTCGAGCAGCGCTTCGAATGCCTGGCCACCCAGGGCATCTGGGATCTGGACTCGGTCCCCCGCCAACTCCCCTGGTTTAAACTCCGAAAGGGTTGGTCCGGCTGGGAGTGTGATGCTGCCTGGTCACGCCAAGCCTCCGAAACTGGCAATCTGGCCTTCACTGCTGCCGATGCTGTGGCTGACGAGGCTCGGCACGCACGGGAGTGGCAGGTTCGGGACGCGGTAAAGTACAGGTGGAGGGTGCACAGGAGGTGCGGGCGGTGGGGTGCGGTGGAGAGGGGTGAGCTGGCGCGGAGGCTGGCAGGGCGGAGGGTGCTGATGGTGGGGGATGAAACGAGCGCCATGCTGTTCCTGTCGCTCCGCAACCACATGCTCATGCCAGGAGTGGGAGGAGGAGGGGCGGGGAAAGAAAAGGGAGGAGGAGGAGGGGGTGGGTACGAGGGGTTGGAGCATCGGATCATGGTGCGTGATGAGGTGCCGGATTTCTGTGCCAGGCTGGACCTAAGGCAGCAGCAGGACTTTCCTGTTTGCACCCAATTCACGTTCGGCGACTCCGCGTCTGTCCTCTTTGTTCGGGACGATGTTCTCCGAACCTCGCCGCCCAATACCGATCCTGCAGCTCAGGATCCGGCTGCCGGACCTGCGGACGCATCAACCCTCTCATTGCCCTGGTTCGACCAGATCAAGGCTGTCCCTTCTAGTAGCAGCTCCAGTAGCAGCAGCAGCAGCAACGACAGCAGCAGTAACATTTCTGTGCTTATACTGAATCGAGGGTCACACTTTGTGGAGGACGATAAGTTCATTCCTCAGCTGAACGAAACGCTCACCAAAGTGAGAGCCACAGCTCCGGACCTCCTCATAATCTACCGAAGCACGCCGCCCGGCCACGCCCACTGCGACCAGCTGCTTGCGCCAATCACAGAACGCCAGGATCCTTCATCCTTACCCAACCACTGGGGTGAGTTCGTCGCCCAGAACGAGTGGGCCAAGCGGCTGGTGAAGGCAGTTGGGGGCGTGTTCCTGGATGTTGACCCTATGACCGCTTTGAGACCCGACGGGCACATTCGGCCGCCCTCTGACTGTCTGCAGTACTGCTTGCCAGGGCCACCGGATGAGTGGACCAGGATGCTCTACCACATGCTGCTGGACCTGATTTGACCTGTGTTGACCTGCTTTGTCCTCGTTTGACAAAGATTGACATGTTGTGGATCTGGGCTGACATGCTTACGGTCGTACTGGGATTTCGGGATGCAAGTGCCTAGTTGACAAGCGTCTGCCAGTATTGTTCTGGTGTGCCGGTATTTTACGGTACTTCAAAGGCTGTGTGTGTCTGTGGCAAACGGATGCTGTTGCTTGTACCGTAGCTTTCCAGGCAGACTCAGAGGTCACACAAGTGTTTGGATTGGAGTTCATATGGTAACTGGCAAAACACCTTGCAACTTAGGGCGTATTCCTATCCTCCTATCAAGAAAACCTCCTATCAAGCTCTCACTGGAAAATTCCCTAAACCCAAAATCTCTCGCTACTTTTACCAGGCAAAAGGTACAATCTTGATAGGAGGTTTCTTGATAGGAGGCCGTAGGAATACGCCCTTAGGGTGCATTCCGCTGTGGACACATGTCCCAATCGACGTGTCCCAATCGAGTGTACCGCTCCGAACCGAACTAAACCAGAGACGCGAAAATTTCGAAACTAGGGTGCAATTCGGTGTAATACGATGCAGTGCGGTAGAAACGATTGGGACACATCGATTGGGACATGTGTCCACAGCGGAAATCGCCCTTAGATGCGCAACAATGCAATGAAGAATGCCCTGCCGCCACCAGCATCCAAGATATCTGTCTGTACCCACTAACATCAATTTGACAACATTTAGCTGTAGAACACAATACTACGGTACTCCGAGCTCTGTACATTAGGGAATATGTACAATTATTTACGGTGCTCGAATGGTACGGTACTGTCCTCTACCCCTCAGCGCTTCCTCAGGATGGCAAGATTTCACTCACTGCATCATCAGCACCACGGTTTGGGCCAGGACCAGCATCAGCGCCGTTGATGCCACGTGAATCGTCGCCTGGTACGGAAGATCTCCAAAGTCCATAGTACTCTTCAAGGGCTTTCCCGCAGCAGTATGATCAGACGTGGCGTCGTCGTATTTTTTTGTGTCGCGGGAGGAACCTGCTGCAGTCCTGGTGACGGCAAAGACGATCCCGTCTAGGCGACGGGCCAAGCTGATCCCCTTGGTCGTGGCGACGAGAAACGCGACGAGCACGGGCCACGTCATGCGCCCACACGCGAACAAGATCACTGCCATGACACCAACCGCATTTTGCGTGAATCGGTACAAACGCGCAACCCGCTCTGGCCCCAATCGCGCGGTCAACGTGATTTTGCCGCACTGAAGGTCGGAGTCGATGTCGGGGAGGTTCATTATCATCATGCGCACCATCTGCTGCGCGCACAGCAGCGGGATGATTGCGCGCAGCGACGTCGGAAGCACGAACGCGTCGTCGTCGCGGCGCTGCAGCGCGCCCATCACGGGAACACTGCACGTCAGCACGGCGGCAACGGTCGCTTCGCCCAAGCCGCGATAGTGGAGCTTGAACGGCGGCGCGGTGTACGCCCACGAGAGGAACAGCGTCGCGCACGCGACGCATTGCGCGGGGGCGCGGAAGAAGGCGAGCTGCGTGACGACGCTGCCGATGAGCAGCACGTTCGCCGCGGCGAGCGCCAACCAGCGCGGCAGCAGGCCCTCGGGAAGCACGCCCGAGCCGCCATTCCACTTTCCGCGGTGCTTGTTCGCGAGATCGGCTTCGTAGTCGAAGTATTCGTTGTAGTAATGCGTCATGACGTGCGTGCATGCTACGAAGAGCGCCACGGGAACGAAGCTCTCAATGCGAAAACGAAACCCGTGGTTGTGGCTGATGTCACGTGAGAGCGCGCCCATGAGGGCGAGCATGGACGAGTACGGAATGAACTTGAGCCGCCCAAGTCGCATAAGAGCACGAAACGACGACATGTCTCCCTGCTGTTGATCTTGTGGGAGCAAGGTTGGGTGAAAGTGAGACTCTTTCTGATTTGTGTGTGGGTTTGATAGTAGACGTGAGCACATGCAGAAAAATCAACTCGATGGGATCTTTTTAGGCTGAAACTGGAATCGCGTGGACGAACTCGGCAAGTCAGAGTTTCGTGGATAAGGGCGTAACGCAAGGGTTACCACGACACAAGATGTCGGCCACTGTGTGCTTCCAGGAACCCGGTGCTCTTGAATACACTGTATGGGTGAACCGCAGGCAGTTTGGCAGCCGCCCAGTTGGGTGCTGGGAGGAAGGTTGCGAAGGCGGAGAGTCCAACCAGAGTCAACAACAGTTGACCCTCGTTTGGGCGTTTCGCACAAAAACTGCGGGCGTGAGGGGAGCTAGCGAAAGGGTGGCGGTTGGTGGGGGCACCTCGGAAACATTTTCGCGTCTCCTCCCCCCGTCACCCCAAATTCCCAGATTCTACCGAGTACCGAAGGTAAAGCCTGAAACAGTAGGAAACCAAGCAGCAGCATGGATGCACGTGGAACAAGCTCACTGGAATGTCGTCCACCGACTTCCTTGGGTTCTCATTTCTTGCGCCCCTTACGCTTAGGCGGCAGCGATTGCGGTAGGGACAGTCATAGCTAGCACAGCGACATCAACTTGATGAATAGCGACAAGTTTATGATTCATTCTCTAGGGCATGCTTTCAGCTCAGCGGCGCCGACACTCACGCTGCATCTTGTTTCATCACAGAAGTATGTAACCACCGCGATGTAGCTCAATTTCACGCTGCGTGTTGTTTCTGCTTCCGCCTTTCTTTCCGACATTCTTTCCGACCTGCTGTCCGCCCTGCTTTCCGCCTTGCTCCCTGCTCAGACCACGAATGGCGGTCTCTGTCGAACGAAGCGCCCTGTGAAGACAACCCTCATATCAGCGCGCCGAATCTTCCCTTGCCTTTTGCCTACACGCTTCCACCGCTCGCCAATCAGACCACGAATGGCGGTCTCTGCCGAATGAAGAGCCTTATGAAGACCCAACCTGTGCTTCAGGTAACCCTCACATGAGATTTCGGAATGTTCCCTTGCCCTGGCTCAGATCCTCCAAAAAGAATTCAACTGGGAGTGCCTACCTTACCCTACCCTACCTTACCTTACCTTACCGTTCTAAGCAACCCTTCGTATGGGCGCGCCGGCGCGCGTTGCTTCGACAGACCCCTGTAGGCGAGTCACGCTGGCTCTCGCGGACCCGGTAACCTGCCCGTTCGCGCAAGTTTTCTGTGACGATGTTTGTAACGGTGCTTCGTTGCGCGCGGATTGCCACCACGCTGACAGCGTGGTCAGCGTTGTCAGCGTTGTGCGCGGAGAATGGATCTTTCCGTCCGTCTGTCGGATGGGCGTTCCGAGTGCGCAAGAAAGGGACCGAACTCAGCTCTGTGACGCATATCAATCTTACGACCAATTTAAACGACCGATCTGAGTTTACCCAAGCAGCTGTTTGCCTGACGCTCAAGTTGACAGCGCTAGCAGTCGTTCTCTCCGTGCAGTCGCGAGGTCTCCAGAGACAGCGCTAGCCCACGCTGCGAAGCGTTTGTCCGTACAGCTGTGTCCTTTGAGTCTTGCTTGTTACCGATTACGCAAGCAGAATCGCATTAGTACTGCTTCTCGCCTCACACCTCGTTCGTGTCCGCTGAAAGCTGCTGCTGCTGCTGCTGCTGCTGCTGCTGCTGCTGCTGCTGCTGTTACTACTGGCGCGATCAGTCGGCGCCGCCCTCGCCTTTCTCGTCGGCACCTCGATCCTACTGACGAGTAAGCAACTCAACATGCAATGTCTTTGATTTCCTTTTTACGCTCCTCCCCTCTCAGATGCGGAATATCGTTTCCCTCCTGACAGCTAGTTAATCGGCTCAATCAGCTTCACAGTCACACGCTTCACAGTCACGCGCTTCACAGTCATGCGCTTCACAGTCACACGCTTCACAGTCACGCACTTCACAGTCACGCGCTTCACAGTCACGCGCTTCATAGTCACATGCTTATTCCAGGCTTCTCACCTCCCCTTCGCCCCATCTCCCCTCCCCTCCTTACTTCGCCCCCTCGTTCCCGCCCCGTCAATCCCTCCGCGTTCCCACTATCACCTTCCCCAATCGTCCCATCCTCCCCTCTACGTCCCTCCCTCCTTCCCTCCGTCGCCCCCTTCCTCCTTCCCTTTCTCCCTTCCCGTTTCCCTCCCTGCTGCTCTTTTTCCATCATCTCTCATATCCCTTTTCCCCATCCCCCCCCCTTCCCCACCTTCCCTTCCCTCCCTCCCCCGTCCTTTCCTCCGCCCTTCCCCTTCCCCTTCCCCTTCCCCCTCCATGCGCAGCTGCCTGGCTGCAGCAAGCACAGGTAAGTCGTGGCCTCTCCTGCTGGAAGTAACCCTGTCGCCACTTTCGTTTTCCAGCATTCTTAACAGTCGCCTTTGCTGGTGACATCTCGTGTCTTCGTGCTTTCACATTATTTCACTTCGACACATTTCGTTGTTCAAACGGGGGCTGGCTATATGGGGTCCCAGAGAGCAGAACATCAAGTGTTGATTGATATGCATTATACTCTAACTAAACAGCAAGTGCTGTCACTATATGTCCAGTCTGCCAGTGCATTATCAGTCATCTTCGTGTGATTCTAACTGTTACTTCCACACATTAGGTCGCCCTGTTCACCAACCCTTAAAAAGACTTCTTATCCTTCGAAACACCTTGCTGGGTCGGAAGGATTCTACCCTCCACCCACCAGGCTGCCCCGTAAGCCATCGCATAGTGGGTAGCAAGCAAGGATACCAAGGGTACCACCACCCTTCCCTTGGCTCTGAACTATGTTTTCCCCTGGCTCTCTTTTTCCCCTGGCTCTCTGTTTCCCCTGGCTCTCTGTTTCCCCTGGCTATCTGTTTTCCACCCACCAGGCCGCCACCTACAGCATCCCTTGGTATCTTGTCAGGACGAGAGGGGTGCGGCCTCCGGATTTGGTCACTCGTGGCGATACAATCGGTAGGTCGCATGGTCAGTGAGTGGAGGCACACACACAGTCAGTGAGTGGAGGCACACACACAGTCAGTGAGTGGAGGCACACACACAGTCAGTGAGTGGGATCTCCTCAGGTTAAGAGGGGTGCGGCCTCCGGATTTGGTCACTCGTAGCGATACAAATGGTAGGTCCTCCAAACCTGGATTTGTACCATACCACTTGACTCTCCATATCACACCTTTTGAGACGTCTAAAAATTTGATCAATCGTGGCGATACAAACGGTAGGTCCTCCAAATTCGGATTTATACCATACCACTTGACTCTCCATATCACACCTCTCCAACTCACACCACTTCGTATTTTGCTGCGTGAAAGTGGAGTAACCGTGAGTTCCATTGTTCCACGGAATATGACTTGTGTGTGTGACTGTGTGACCAGATGAAATAAGGTTAACTTAAAGTTCCACTCATTATGACTGTGCATGCCTCTCCACCCATGCCTTTCTCAAATTTATTGTTGAATGAATTATACGAGTATCTGTTTTTCTTCTTCTTTTCCTTTTCCATTTTTATCATCACCCATGAACCATCACCAAGCAATATCATTATAAGCCATCACCATGCATCATCAGCAATAGAGCCATAGCGCATGTGGCATGATGCAGTGAACTATTATCCAATTACCATTAACTGTACTATGTGTCTTTTCCCCGTGCCCATCCCTCAGTGTTCAAGTGGACAGACCTGGCATGGCATGATCTGTGGGTCATCGACGATGTGGTGAGGAGATGGTCAATGTGGATTGTTCTGTGCTCATCATGATGATCATCTCATGCCTGATTTCCTCTGTTCAACCATCTCAACCCCTCAGTGTTCAAGTGGACGGACTTGGCATGGCATGATCTGTGGATCATGGACGATGAGAAAGTGCTCATGTGGAATGATAATTGCTTCTATCCACACTGCTCGCAGTCTTCAAATGGACAGACTTGGCATGGCATGATCTGTGGATCATGGACGACGAGAAGGCGTTCAAGAATTGTGACTTCACTCGGGCAATGCGCCTCCGACCGCTTGTTGTTGGCGGGCAGTACACGTGAGTTGGGGCAGCACGCGAAAATAATGGGGTAGTTTGGGTAACCTCATGGCAGTATGAAAAGATTCTGGGCAGGATAGTTTCAGAATGAATTAATAATGAATATCCATGTTTTTAACGTTTTTTTTTCATGTTTGATTGTTCTTCATGGCAAGCAACAGTTCGGCACCTCCTGAAATCATAACCCCCCTGCAGATTCCATTATTGCAGCGAACCACCAGCAACTAGCTGGCTGTGGCTTGTATTGAAGTGATTTTAGAGAGGTGCACGTTCCTGCGAGGCCTCTCTGATTTGAGATCAACTAGCCAGTTGCTGGTTGTGGCTTGGCACCCTTCCTGCGACTTGCTTGCCACTTCAACCCATCAGCCCTGCCCTAGCTTCTGCACCACTGCCCATCAGCACCACTGCCCATCAGCACCACTGCCCATCAGCACCACTGCCCATCAGCACCACTGCCCATCAGCACCACTGCCCATCAGCACCACTGCCCATCAGCACCACTGCCCATCAGCACCACTGCCCATCAGCCCTGCCCTAGCTTCTGCACCACCGTTGGCTTTTATCGCTATCACCAGCAATCTCAGTTTCTGCCATCCATGTCAATCGAAATCCCACTATATGCCATCCCTCACCATCTCGCTGTGGCTGGCATGTACAAGGTAGCTGTCTTTTGGAAATGTTATCCCCTCTACCTAGCGTCGAGTGGCATCCTCGTTTTGAGAAGTCGCAAAACACTTTATCGGAATCTCACTGTTGTGAATACCATCCCTTACCATCTCCTTGTGGCTGGCAGGTACAAGGTCGGTCACTGCCATCTGGGAGAACTTTTCATGAGGCGCCTCAAAAGGAATTTCACTGTTGTGAATGCCGCCCCTCACCATCTCTCTGTGGCTGGCAGGTACAAGGTGGCTGTCATCTGGGAGTTTTTTCCGCTCTATTTTGCCTCGAGTGGCATCCTCGTTTTGAGCCGTCACAAACACTATCAGAATCTCATTGTTGTGAATGCCGCCCCTCATTCTCTCTGTGCAGGTACAAGGTCACTGCCTTCTGGGAGACTTTTCCGCTCTATTTCGCCTCCAGTGGCATGCTAGTTTCAATGCGTCGCAAAAAACTCACTGTCGTGAATGCCATCCCTCACCATCTCTCTGTGGCTGGCAGGTACAAGGTGACTGCCATCTGGGAGACTTTTCCGCTCTATTTCGCCTCCAGTGGCATCCTGCAGTGCCGCTACTACAGGGTGAAGCTGCGCGTGGTCCACAACCTTGGATGATCAGAGAAACATCATCCTAGATCACATTCTAAGGCAATGTTTATTAATAAAATCTAAATGCCATTCCGCTCTATTTCGCCTCTAGTCTACTGGCATCCTGCAGTGCCAAGTGAAGCTTTCATTTGTGGTGCAGAATACGTCACTTGAGATAAAGGCCATGTTACACTCTGCACTGCAGCCTTGAGAGTCACATATTGTACAGTCATAAAAATATTGTACATATCATGCAGTGCAGTTGCTACACCAAAATATGCTTTTGCTATATGCTTGATAATCTAACAGTTTCGTCAACACACTTTGTATGGCAAATGCCAACCACTTCTGCGCATTCAGGCTGAACTATCACATGAGAATTCGCGGTGTATCTGGGTCCGTAACGTCATGGCCATATTCTATTGCAGGATCGTGCATATTACTTTTCAACAGCATCAGAAGCATCTGTGTAAACACCTCCCCCCCCCCCCCCCCCCCCCCCCCCCCCCCCCCCCCCCCCCCCCCCCCCCCTTCCCCGGGCCCCGGCTCATGAAATGCAGGGAATGTACATAACAGAGTTCGGTGAAAGAAAATGCCCATTCTATAGCTTTGTGAGCTTATACCGTATATATGAGGTCAATAGAAATCATACACTAATCTGCGTCATGAACGATATTGAACGAATTCCTGCGTCAGCTCTTGGACAATGTCCACATTCAAATCCGTGTTGGCCACCAGATTTCGGACTCATCCAGGGAGCCTTGACGTGGCGTGGTGCAGCCAATCTGCTGCGTTCTTGGGTATTGGCCTTGGCGAAGCCGAACCCATCTGACGAATCGCGCTTAGCCTTCCATCCATCATCCCGCACCAGGATTCGTTGCTCTAGTCTCCAGATAGAGCCTCGGGGAAGCCGAACAGAAGAGTCTGGCTTGTCGTGTTCTAGGTTCGGAAGAGTCTAGCTCTTCTTGCCACGCAGACTAACCAATTACAGCACCTAGATTCGGTTCGGTGAAAAGCCTCGAAATTCGAGAAGTCTGATGAGCTCGGGGCGCATTTGCAGCTGTTGTGAATGCTTTGCGCTAGGAGCCATGGCGGCTTTTCCTGAGTCCTAGATTAGCCGCTTCGCAACTGCCTGATGCTCATGCCTCCTCTCCTCGTAACAAACGAGAGGGGTTATATGGTGTGTCCCATCTCTCATAGGGGCGGATTTGGTCACTTTTATTAGCCCCGATCACGAAGTATTACGCTTTCTTCTTCCTGTTTCCCGGCCACAATTCGATTTCCTATTTCATCCTGTTCGCGGATCAGTAGACTTTCTAATGATCATGGCTGCGGCTATGGCGAGACTGGCAGCATCCCTGCCTCTGCGGTACATCACGTGCAGCGTACCGAACGGAAATGCCCTTGAGATCTCACCAAAATCGGCCTCCATTCTTGTGCGAAAGTCAAATTTGACGATACGAAACCCTGCTTCAGCATTAGGAGAGCGACTAGAAAGTCGGAACCGCGGATTTAGGAGGCGCATCGTGCGAGTGAGGGCAGAGGATGGGCCTTCGAATGGCGGTTCGGAAGCCGATAGTAAAGCTGTCGGTTCAGTGAAATCCGACGTGGTTAGCGAGAGCAGCGGTCCTGTGCAAGCACGAGCAGAGAAAGATAAGGCTATCGATGAAGAGAAGGAGAGGGAGAAGGAACGGCGGAGACAGCAAGCTCTGCGGCAGGCAGCGAGAAAAGCGGGGACGCCGCCAACCAGCGCAAGCGGCGCTGGCGGCACCAGTGGCGGCAGTGGGGAGAGCGGGAAGGAGGGCGAGGGGGCGGTGAAGGGTGGACTGCTGATGGGGCTGGCGGAGGCCATCGAGGACGCGTTTGGTGTTACCAGCGAGGGGCGGGGTGGCGTTGAAAAGCTGGATATCGCCAAGGTGAGAGTCTGTAAGGGGTTGCTTTGGGGTGGGGACATGTGTGAGATGAATTAATCAGGGGACTGGTGAAAGGGGGATGAAAGACGCGGTGAAGTGGCGGTAAAAGGAGCGGTGAAGGAAGCGGTGAAGAGCGGACTGCTGATGGGGCTGGCGGAGGCTATAGAGGACGCGTTTGGTGCTACCAGCGAGGGGCGAGGCGCGGTTGACAAGCTGGATATCAGCAAGGTGAGAGCGGGCGAGGGGTGGATATGTGCGTGAGAGCCGGTGAGGGGTTGCTATTGGGTTGAGATGTTTCAAGGGACTGGTGAGGCGGGTGAAAGAGGCTATGAAGGGGTGGTGATGGGGTTCTGAAGGGTGCTCCCTGATGGGGCTGGCGGAGGACATAGAGGACGGATTTGGTGCTACCTATGAGGGAAGGGGGCAGTTGACAAGCTGGATATTTTCAAGAATTCTCAAAAACACCCTGCAAAATCAAATGGGTCTGGCTGAGGCCATAGAGGACGGATTTGGTGTTACCGATGCTGGAAGAGGGGCAGTTGACAAGCTGGATATCGCCAAGGTGAGAGCCGGTGAGAATCGGTGAGGGGTGGCTTTGGTATGGGTATGCGTGTCAGTCACGTACGTGTGTGCGAGGTTGAAGGAGGTCTGCTGATGGGGCTGGCGGAGGCTATAGAGGATGCGTTTGCTGTCACCGATGGTGGGAAAGGGGCAGCTGACAAGCTGGATATCGCCAAGGTGAGAGCCGGTGAGGGGTGGGTATGCGTGGGAGTGTTACTCAAGGGAATGATGAAGGGGCAGTGAAGGAAGTGGGGTGGGGGGGCGTTTACTGAGGGGGCTGGTGGAGGGTATTTGCCATTGACGATGGTGGGAAGGGGGCAGTTGACAAGTTGGATACTGCGAAGGTGAGACTCGTTGCAGGGAGGGGGAGATGAGCAATGAGGAATCACCCGAGTCACTCGCGGGTGATGGGGCAGGAAGGGAGCAGTTGACAAGCTGGATAGATACCACTCAGGTGAGTGAGATTCGGTGAGAGATGGGTGTGTGTGAGGTTTGGTGAGAGATGGGTATGGGCGTAATTCAATGAGAGATGGGTGTGTGTGAAAGTCGGTGAGAGATGGGTATACCTGTGAAAGTCACTTGAGGGAGCGTTAATGAGAGTAAGTACGTCTGCGAGCGATGCTATGTGACCGTCATTCCTGTGTGCCCATCTCAATGAAATTCCTTTTGAGGCGCCTCAAAAGTCATTCCTGTGTGCCCATCTCAATGAAATTCCTGCTTTTTGTGTGCAGTTGCAGAAGAGGACCATCAGCGTGGTCTGCCGTGTTCGTCCCCTGGGGAAGAACGTGCAACCTTCAGTCGCTTGCATGGGTACCTTTGACGATGATTTCATTGTCGGCATTGATCTTCACGCGAGGGACGGAAGGTTGCAACTTTGTTTTCTCAGGGGGCGAACACGGCAGATCACACTGATGGTCCTTTTCTGCACCCCTTCCCTCCCCATTCCCTCTTGATTCTTTTTTCGCCTCTTCCCTTCTCACCAATAGCTCCGCACCTTTTTCTCCTGCACGAACTTCTGGCCCACTGGCTCCCTACCCTACGGTCCAGGCGCATTGTTCACGGCCCCTATCTCCTCTCCTTCCCATACCTTCTCACCTCTTTCTTACCTCTCCCCAACCCCACCCTCCCATCCCACCCTCACCCTCTCAGCTCCGCACCTTCTTCTCCTACACGGATTTCTGGCCCACAGGCTCCCGTCCCTACGGCTCAGGCGCACTGTTCACGGGAAACCTGCATTCCCTTCCCTTCCCCTTCCTTACCTCTCTCCTCCCCGCCCCCCAACCCCCTCCTCTTACCCCCCTCAGCTCCGCACCTGCTTCTCCTACACCGACTTCTGGCCCACTGATTCCCGCCCATACGGCTCGGGCGCACTGTTCACGGGCAACCTGCGGGCTGCTGGCGTGGCGGACGCGCGGGAGAGGCTGGAGACAAAGCTGGCCGAGGGTGCTGGTTGCCCCGTGGCGGTTTTCTTCCTGAAAGACGAGCGGCGAGAGAAGAAGGTGTGTGCTTGCTTGTGGTGAAGGGGATGTGAGTGGCATATGCAGCACTAGCAGGTTCAAGTGAGAGGGGAGAGGCTGGAGACAAAGCTGCGCGAGGGTGCTGGGTGCCCCGTGGCGGTTTTCTTTCTCAAGGATGAGCGGCGAGAGAAGGAGATGCGTAGTGCGAGCAAGGTTTTTCTGAGAACTCTCAAACACGCGGTGCGTGGTGCGAGCAAGGAGGCGAGTCCGTCAGTTGATTGTTGTGGTGCTGGGTGGGGAGCAACCTAGCTGGACGAGGCTGCTGAGTGCCCCGGGGCCGTATTCTTCCTGAAAGACGAGCGGAGGGAGAATGAGGCGTGCTTTCTGGGAGGGTAGTAAGAGGGGTGCGGGGTGCATATCCGTCATTGGCAGGGCAAGTATGAAGGGAGAGGCTGGAGGCGAAGCTGGGCGAGGCTGCTGGGTGCCCCGGGGCCATGTTCTTCCTGAAAGACAAGCGGAGGGAGGAGGAGGTGCGTGGGTGCGTGCGTGTGTGCGAGGAGAGAGGTATGTTTATCAGGGGATTGTTGCAGTGGTGGTGGTGGTGGTCACATGCCGAGCTGCTGAGTGCCCCCTGGCGGTTTCCTTCCTGAAAGACGAGCAGCGGGAGAAGCAGGTGCGTGGGTGGTGAGAGGGGTGTGGGGTGCATGTGCTTCACTAGCTGGTCAAATGAGAGAGAGTGGTGAGGCAGCAGGCGAAGCTGGGCAACGGTGCTGGGCGCCCCGCGACTGTGTTCTTTCTGAAAGACGAGCACATGGAGGAGGGACGTCGTGCGAGGAAGGAGACATGTCCCTCAGGTTTTTTCTTGTCACACTCGGTTCGGGTCACTCTCGGGTCAATCTCGAGTTACTCTCGGGTCAATCTCGGATCACTTTCAGATTTATCACTTGTGGTCACAATCCGTTCACTCTCGGGCCACTCTCGGGTAGTTCTAGCGTCAGTTTAGGGTCATTGTCAGGCCACTCTTAAGTCACTCTTGTAACACTCTCAAATCCATCACTTGCCGCCTATCCTTCACTTCACCCACTTAATGAAAATCACTTATAAGATTTTTCAAAAATGATTTTCTCGGCACACTCTCAAATCCATCACTTGCCGCCTATCCTTCACTCCACCCACTTTACCACTCGCTCCCTCTGGCCAACCTTCGTCTTCCATTTCCTCTCCCCATCCTCACCCCATCCCCATCAGGTGTGCATAGTGCAACAAGTATCCTCCATCGATCGACGTTTCACCCTCACCACACTACCGGCCTCTCCCGCTGGCCCCTGCTGTTGCTCTCCGTCCTCTTCTCCCTTATATCCCCCACCTGCACCCTTCTCTGCTTCCCCTTTCCCCGCTTTCCTCCTCTTTCGCCATTGACCCATTTCTCAGGTGTGCATAGTGCAACCAGTGTCCTCCATCGATCGTCGTCTCGCCCTCACCACTCTCACCGGCCTCTCCCGCTGGCCGCTCATGCTGCTCTCCCTCCTGGGCTGCCTCGCCACCACTGCCACTGTCTCTGGCGTCAATCTCGACCCCTATAAAGTTGGGCTTGGGGAGTCAGCTCACCACGCCCTGCCTTTAACTCTTGGCCTTGCCACAGTCATCGGTGTAGGAGAGGTGAGTGCTTCGTCTGCCCTCTCCCACTGGCCTCTCATACTGCCCTCATGCTGCTCTCCCTCCTGGGCTGCCTCGCCACCACTGCCACTGTCTCTGGCGTCAATCTCGACCCCTATAAAGTTGGGCTTGGGGAGTCAGCTCACCACGCCCTGCCTTTAACTCTTGGCCTTGCCACAGTCATCGGTGTAGGAGAGGTGAGTGCTTCGTCTGCCCTCTCCCACTGGCCTCTCATACTGCCCTCATGCTGCTCTCCCTCCTGGGCTGCCTCGCCACCACTGCCACTGTCTCTGGCGTCAATCTCGACCCCTATAAAGTTGGGCTTGGGGAGTCAGCTCACCACGCCCTGCCTTTAACTCTTGGCCTTGCCACAGTCATCGGTGTAGGAGAGGTGAGTGCTTCGTCTGCCCTCTCCCACTGGCCTCTCATACTGCCCTCATGCTGCTATCCCTCCTGGGCTGCCTCGCCACCACTGCCACTGTCTCTGACGTCAATCTCGACCCCTATAAAGTTGGGCTTGGGGAGTCAGCTCACCACGCCCTCCCTTACGCTCGTGTTCTCGCGGCCATTGTGGGAGTGGGCGAGGTTAGTGGCGCTTTCAGTCAAACCCGCAGCTATCCAGTTGTGGCTCTCCACTCATATGCCGCCTGCCTCTTCACTACTGCCACCATCTCTGGCGCCAACCTCCACCCCTCTGGCACTGGGGAGTCGGCACACGCCCTCCCCCTCGCACGCAGCCTTGTGGCACTCATTCATGTTGGGTTGGGGAGTTGGCAGATTTCGCAGTATTTCGCACCACACACACACCACGCCCTTACTTCAAACCCAATGATATTCACAAACGTGTCCACAAAACGTTTTGTTCTTTGTTACTACGTGCACCTCTCCACCCCATCCCTCACCTTTTCCCTCCGTCGTGGCCTTGCTCATTGCTTCTTCCTTGCCCACCTTGCGCCCAAGCCAGCCACACCCCCAGCTTTTCCACCTCGCTTGCCCATGCTTCTTTTGAGGCGCCTCAAAGCTTGCCCATGCTTCTTTTGAGGCGCCTCAAAGCTTGCCCATGCTTCTTTTGAGGCGCCTCAAAGCTTGCCCATGCTTCTTTTGAGGCGCCTCAAAGCTTGCCCATGCTTCTTTTGAGGCGCCTCAAAGCTTGCCCATGCTTCTTTTGAGGCGCCTCAAAGCTTGCCCATGCTTCTTTTGAGGCGCCTCAAAGCTTGCCCATGCTTCTTTTGAGGCGCCTCAAAGCTTGCCCATGCGTCTTCCTCCCTCTTTTGAGTCGACTCAAAAGTCACCCCCAGCTTTTCCACCTCTTCCTCCCTCTTTTGAGTCGACTCAAAAGTCACCCCCAGCTTTTCCACCTCTTCCTCCCTCTTTCTCCTTTTGAGGCGCCTCAAAAGTTGCTTCGTCCTCCCTCTTTCTCCTGCACCCCAGCAACACTTCCAAAACCCCACTTACCACAGCTCTTCCAGTGGATCATGGCAGGTCGCTACCGGGTAAAGCTCTCCCCACGCTCCAATTGCATGACCATGCCTCTTCCTCTCTTCCCCCCCACCCCCCCTGCATTCTTCCCCCACTCCTGCACCAACAGATCTTCCAGCGGATCATGGCGGGGCGATATGGGGTAAAGCTCTCCCCGCCCTACCTCCTTCCCGGCCCCCTGGGCTGCCATGGCACTGCCACTCGCTTCGAGTCCCTGCTGCCCTCCTCCCGTGTAGGTGGGGTGGATGGATGGTAGAAGGGAATGAGAGGGAAGGGGGGTAAAGTGTGCACCTCTCCCCGCCCTACCTCCTCCCCGGCCCCCGCCACGGCACTGCCACTCGCTTTGAGGCCCTCCTACCGTCTTCACGGGTACGTGGTGGGAAGAGGGGCATGGGAGTTAGTTGGGGGGTAAGGCAGTGAGTAGGATGGGGGCCGGGAGGTTAGGGTGCACCTCTCTTTCGCCTACCTCCTCCCCGGCCGCCTGGGCTGCCACGGCACTGCTACTAGCTTCAAGTCCCTGCTGCCCTCCTCCCGGGTAGGTGATGCCCTGCGGGGTGGATGGTGGGGAGAGGGGTGGGGAACAAGGAAGTGACCTGAGGGGGGTATGGAGTAAAGCTCTCCCCCACCCTACCTCCTCCCCGGCCCCCTGGGTTGCCACGGCACTGCCACTCGCGTCGAGTCCCTCCTGCCCTCCTCTCAGGTACGTGGTGTGGTGAGTGATGGTGTGGGGGATAAGGGAGTGATTTGAGCGGCAAGGCAGAATGGCGGAGTGGACGGTAGGGCGTGTATGTGATGGGGCTGCTGAACAGATTTCTGTTGGAGCTTTGCTTGAGTCCCTCGTGCCCTCTGGCCTGCCCCTCGCTTCCAGTCCCTCGTACCCTCCTCCCAGGTACGTGGTTAGCAATGGGGGTGAGGTAGGTAGCAAGTAGAGGGAGAGTAGATGCTAGGGAGTAAAGCGGGCAGTAGGGGGAGTGCACAGAGCGAGGAGAGGGGCTGCGGCAGGGAGGGATGGTCCCCTGGGTTGTCACGGCACGGCACTGCCCCTCGCTTCGAGTCCCGCCTGGCCCCATCTCTCCTCTCCTCAAAGGCCCCATCTTCTTTCTTCCCACTCTCCTTCACTTCGCCTTTACAAGTGAGAATCTTTTCTGTTATCTTTCTTCTAGGGCCCCATCGTACCCTCTTCTCCCACGGCCTCCCCTCCTCCCCACCCTCACTAGGCACTGTCCGACATATGTGCAGCCAAGGCGGTGGGATCATTCATGACGTCATTCATTCTGGCATGTGTGGCGCTGGCAGCTGATGGGGGCATTGGTTCCTGCACCGCCTCTCCTCAAACGCCCCATCCCCGTTCTTCCCGCCACCCCACTCCCATCAGGTCCTGTTCGACATGTGTGCAGCCAAGGCGGTCGGGTCATTCATGACGTCATTCATTCTGGCGTGTGTGGCTCTGCGGTCACTCATGACTCTCTCTCCCCTCTTTTTTCTCCAACTCTCTCTCCCCTCTTTTTTCTCCAACTCTCTCTCCCCTCTTTTTTCTCCAACTCTCTCTCCCCTCTTTTTTCTCCAACTCTCTCTCCCCTCTTTTTTCTCCAACTCTCTCTCCCCTCTTTTTTCTCCAACTCTCTCTCCCCTCTTTTTTCTCCAACTCTCTCTCCCCTCTTTTTTCTCCAACTCTCTCTCCCCTCTTTTTTCTCCAACTCTCTCTCCCCTCTTTTTTCTCCAACTCTCTCTCCCCTCTTTTTTCTCCAACTCTCTCTCCCCTCTTTTTTCTCCAACTCTCTCTCCCCTCTTTTTTCTCCAACTCTCTCTCCCCTCTTTTTTCTCCAACTCTCTCTCCCCTCTTTTTTCTCCAACTCTCTCTCCCCTCTTTTTTCTCCAACTCTCTCTCCCCTCTTTTTTCTCCAACTCTCTCTCCCCTCTTTTTTCTCCAACTCTCTCTCCCCTCTTTTTTCTCCAACTCTCTCTCCCCTCTTTTTTCTCCAACTCTCTCTCCCCTCTTTTTTCTCCAACTCTCTCTCCCCTCTTTTTTCTCCAACTCTCTCTCCCCTCTTTTTTCTCCAACTCTCTCTCCCCTCTTTTTTCTCCAACTCTCTCTCCCCTCTTTTTTCTCCAACTCTCTCTCCCCCCTTCTTCACCTCCATCCCAACCCCACCAGGCGCTGTTTGACATGTGTGCAGCCAAGGCGGTCGGGTCATTCATGACGTCATTCGTTCTGGCGTGTGTGGCGCTGGCAGCTGATGGGGGTGTTGATGGGGGCATCGACCCCATGTGAGTCCCTTCCTTGGCATCAACAATTCCTTTCAGTTAGGTATAAGGAGGTGCCTTCAAAAGCTCTGGTTTTCCAACGTCGAACTTTTGTCACGTTTGCACATCTGTTTTACATTCACATTATGTTTATAATATTGTCTGTAACTTGCACATTATGCTTGCCATAATCTCTGCCACCCACTCCACTTCCACTTCCACTTTGTCTTGCTTATCATTTGCCCTCAATGCCGTGTGATCAAGAGAAGCTACTAGCTGCCCCTTTCTCACTTTGAATGTTATATATCTCATTTCCCGAAGTTGCTTTCCTCGTTTTCCTCTCGATATACAGCACACATGGATCGGAAACTCATAATATTCATGCACGACTCGCTTTACTAGACATCTACGCACGAGAGCATCTCCCAAGTACTTTCGGTACAGTGAGTCCTTCTGGTCGGCCCTCATGAACACATAAAATACAAACACGGCGGACTATCTGGCCTTGAATATGCTCTCTTTCGACTGGTCCGTCCACCTGCCAACAGCGTGAAACATCCTCTTTGGTTGTTGCAGTATTTGTTTACAAAGAGCCAAAGAATTTGTTCTGCGCTTTTGTCAGGTGGCCGGAGCATCGAAGAAGAGCATATGCATGCCATGCAGGCTGCACTGTTCGCATTCCATGTGTTCAAAAGGTCGATCAGAGGAGTTACTGTACAGGAAGTACTTAAGAATAGCTCTCATGCATTGACACCTCATGAATCATTTTGTTTCCATCACACATATTCGAAATAAAATCCTCTTCTCCATCCCTCCCCTTGCATTCCCCATCATCAACAAAATGTCATGCCTACACTCTTCCACATTCTCTTTATTCGTCACCGCTCTTCCCTCCTCTCCCTCTTCCACCGTCTTTCTCCCCCCATGTCCCACCACGTACATCGAGCCGTCCTTCTTCGCCCCCAACCTGCTGCTCTCGTTCCTCCAGAACATCATCGGCCCATACTCCTTCCTTGTGCCTCTCTCCCCCCACTCTCCCCCCTCCAATCCCTCCACCAGGTACATCGAGCCGTCCTTCTTCGCCCCCAATCTCCTCCTCTCCTTCGTTCAGAACGTCATCGGACCATACTCCGACGACCTGGGCAACGTCATGCCCAACGCTGTGGAAGGGTTGGGTGTGCCCGTCAACCCTCTAGCTTTCGCAGGGCTGCTGGGGTTTGTGATTACAGCGCTGAATCTGCTCCCGGCTGGACAACTGGATGGGGGCCACATGGTGCAGGTGGGTGGGTGCTGCAGAAGAGCAGCCAGCCTCTATAGCTGGTGGTGCGTGCACAGGTAACGGCTTACATAGGTCATAGGCTTCACCTTGAATGACCTGGGCAACGTCATGCCCAATGCCGTGGAGGGGCTGGGCATGCCCGTCAACCCCCTCGCGTTCGCAGGGTTGCTAGGGTTTGTGATCATGGCGCTGAATCTGCTGCCTGCTGGACAGCTCGACGGGGGCCACATGGTGCAGGTATGTGGACGCGTATGCAGGTGAGTGGGTGGGTGGGTGTATAAGACACAACCTCTGTGGGTGAAGTTGCTTGCAACGTCATGCGCAACGCTGTGGAGGGGCTGGGCGTGCCGGTTAACCCTCTGGCGTTTTCAGGGCTGCTGGGGTTGGTCATTACAGCGCTGAATCTGCTGCCGGCTGGGCAGCTGGATGGGGGCCACATGGTGCAGGTACGATGCAATAGGGTTGGGGCCGAGGGAACAGCCTCTCTGGGTGCTGCTGCTTACAATGATACGGCTTATGTAGGCATAGGCTGGGACTGGAGCGACCTGGGCAACGTCATGCCCAACGCCGTGGAAGGGCTGGGCGTACCAGTGAATCCTCTGGCGTTGCATTGCTGCTGGCATTTGTGATCACGGCGCTGAATCTGCTGCCGGCTGGGCAGCTGGATGGGGGCCACACGGTGCAGGTCGGTGGGTGCAGTGGATGTTGCTGGTTAGGCAGATGGATTAAAAATTCCTGTAGCGTTTATAAGGCTGCTGGGCTGGGCTGGGCAGGCCGGGGCGGGGCGGGGCGGGGCCAGGTCGGGCCGAGCCAGGCCGGGCCGAGCCAGGCCGGGCCTAGGTATGCTGGTGAACTTTCGAGCATTCGCAGGGCTGCAGAGGTTTATCATTACGGTGCTGAACCTGCTGCCACCAGCTGGATCTGTTTTTGGGAATTCTCAAAAAAAAAAAAAAAAAAAAAAAAAACAGACTGAACCTGCTGCGACCAGCTGGGCATCTGGATGGCCCTGGGAGGCTGCTTTTCAGGAAGTGTGCTCTGCCTCTTCTGGGCCTTCATCATCCTCTCCTTCCCTGCCCTTGCCTTTGCTCCCGCTTCCCTTCAATGCAGGCTCTGTTCGGCAGGCGCAAGGCCAAGATCACAACTCTCATCACTCTGGCCCTGGATGGTTTCTCCGGCAGTGTGCTGTGCCTCTTCTGGGCCTTCATCATCCTCGCCTTCCCTGCTTCCCCTTGCCTTCTATCACCATGCCCTCCTATGCAGGCCCTATTTGGCAAACGCAAAGCCAAGATAACCACACTTATCACTCTAGCGCTACTAGCCCTAGGCGGTTTCTCAGGCAGTGTGCTGTGCCTTTTCTGGGCCTTCCTCATCCTCGCCTTCCCTGCTTCCCCTTGCCTTCTATCACCATGCCCTCCTATGCAGGCACTATTCGGCAGGCGCAAGGCCAAGATCACCACACTTATCACTCTAGCCCTGCTAGCACTGGGTGGTTTCTCCGGCAGTGTGCTCTGCCTCTTCTGGGCCTTCATCATCCTTGCTTTCCGCAACGGCGAGGAGCTCCCATCACTGGACGAGATCTCGCCACTTGGCAGAGGCCGATTCGTGCTCGCGTGGATGCTGCTCAACGGCAGCCTGTTGCTGCTGCTCCCCAAGAGCGGCGGCACGTTTCCCTCTTTCTTGCCCACAGACTTTTAGCTGTGTGTGAGGGCGGTTGTCTAGGCACAGGAGAGGTCCAAACTGTTGGGCTGAAAAATAGCCCTTAGGATCTTTGCAGAGGAGAACTCTTGGGTAGAAACTTGTAATAGCGGAAGCGTTTAATGAGGATTGTGAACCGACCTTGCACTGGTGTGTGAGAGCAAAGTAGATTAAATTAAACAAGCAAGTACAAGGATTTATATAAGAGTACAGGGAATACGAATAGATAGATAGATAACTGTTTTGCTGTTGCGGTTCGATATAGTGCGACTCGGGCAACTGCTCTGCAACGAGTCAGTTGTGTGTCCTTAACTGTCGCGCTGTATTTGTCGAGTCAAAGGTCAGCGACCTTTGACTTTCTCGTAACCTCCGGGCGGTTACCCTAACCTCCGAGGTTGACTCGATGCTTCGATTGGGACTGCTTCGCTTGGTGCCTTGGATTTTGACAGAAGCGCACCTAGGACTTATTGTTTCCAACACAAACAAGGAGCATGTTTTCACTTATATCGTAGCTTCCAGTTGTCATTGTGTTACTATGTGTATGAAATTAAATACCAGTCGAGCTCTGATGAATGAGCAATGGAATGGCTCATTGATCTTTAAAGCATCAACAGAAAGACTTCCGCCTGTGTGGATATTTGAATCACACTACGAATTGACTACAGGAAATGGAACAGACTATGGATATCATGGCACAAACAAAAAGCTTCCGCCTTGTGTGTATCACATACATAGCACAATACCGAGCACACACTTACCGTATTGTAAGGAATGGGCCGGATATCACTTCATATACTGGCACAAGTGCATCACATGCACACACCGTTTGTTACTGCCTCCTCACCATCACCAATACCGCTCAGAATTGAACGTGGCAGATTTCTTAGACTTGGATTTTGACTTATTTTTCTTGGGCTTGGAGTAGGCAGCTTCCTGAAACGTGGATAGGCTTGCTTGTGTCTCATATGGGGGGCCCACAGGCGCAGAGTAGTCATCGCAATGGTAGTCATCATCAGGGTCGTATTCACCAGGGTAGTCACCAGGTGCTGCCGAGTAACCGTATCCATAACCGGGAGTATAACCAGCTGGAGCCGAGTAGCCGTAACCGTAACCGGGAGCATAAGAGCCATAAGCAGGAAAGGGGAAAAAACCAGGCGAATAACCAGCATAAGCAGGAGCAGCGGGAGGACAAGCGGATGGACCAGACGGCGATGATGTAGTAGCGTTAGAAAAGGTAGGAGACGCAGAAGCGCCGAAGCCAGAGGTAGACGTGTGAGTGGAACCACCGAGCTTGGACTTGGAACCACCTTTCTTAGAAGTGGAAGCACCAAAATTGGAAGTCGAAGCACCAAGCTTTGAAGTAGAAGCACCAAGCTTTGAAGTAGAAGCACCAAGCTTCGTAGTGGAAGCATCGAACAAGGAAGTGGGGCCACCGGGCTCGGGGGTGAAACCACCAAGCTTTGAAGTGGAAGCACCAAGCTTTGAAGTAGAAGCACCAAGCTTCGTAGTGGAAGCATCAAACAAGGAAGTGGGGCCACCGGGCTCGGGGGTGAAACCACCAAGCTTTGAAGTGGAAGCACCGAACTTGGAAGTGGACGCACCTAAGCTGGACAGGGAGCCACCTAACCCAGACGACGCGGAAGCACCTAACCTGGAAGCGGAAGCACCAAACCCAGAACCAAATAACCCAGAAGTAGCAGATGAAATAGCAGATGAACTGGCAGCAGCAGCAGCAGCAGCAGCAGTGGTAGAAGCGGCTGGATAGCACATTGCTATAAGGCTAGCAACCGCAGTACCTGTTGCAGGAACGGTAACTGCGTTTCTTGAAGCAGCAGTAGTGGTAACATCAGTGGTGACTGCTTTCCCTGCAGCAGCAGTAGCGGTAACATCAGTGGTGACTGCTTTCCCTGCAGCAGCAGTAGCAGTAACATCAGTGGTGACTGCTTTCCCTGCAGCAGCAGTAGCGGTAACATCAGTGGTGACTGCTTTCCCTGCAGCAGCAGTAGCGGTAACATCAGTGGTGGTAGCGATAACATCAGTGGTAACTGCTTTCCCTGAAGCAGCAGCAGCGGTAGAGTCAGTGGGAACTGCTTTCTCTGAAGAAGCAGCAGCGGTAGTGTCAGTGGTAACAGGCTTTCCTGAAGCAGCAGTAGCGGTGGTGTCAGTGATAACTGCCTTTCCTGAGACAGCAATAGTGGTACTGTCTGTGGTAACTGCCGTTCCTAGAAGAACAGTAGCGAATGCGTCAGCGGGAACCGTTTTTCCTACGGCAGCAGTAGTGGTAACGTCAGTGGTAACTGCTTTTTCTGCAGCAGCAGTAGCGGTAACTGCCTTTCTTGCAGAGGCATTAGCGGTAGTGTCAGTGTTAACTGAGATTCCTGCAGCAGCAGCAGCGGCAGTGGCAGTGGCGACTGTTTTTAACAAATCAGCAGTAGCTGTTGCATCATCTGTACCCGCTTTCCCTGGAGCAGCAGTAGCGGTACTGTCACTGGTACCTACTTTCTGTGGAGCAGCAGCAGTGGTAGTGTAGGTGGTGACTGCTTTGCCTGAAACAGCATCGGCGGTAGGATCGTCAGTAACTGCTGTTCCGGAATCTGCAGCAACGTTTGTATCAGTTGCAACTGCTTTGCCTGAATCCGCATCGAATGTAGGATAAGTGGTAACTGCTGTTCCAGAATCTGCAGCAATGCTTGCATCAGTTGCATCTGCGACTGTAGGATCAGCGGTGGCATTTTTTTCTGAATCAGCACTCACGGTAGTGGCATCAGCGGTAACTGCGATTCCAGAAGCAGCAGCCACCTTAGTATCAAGCGATAACGCCTTTGCAGGAGCAACAGCAATATCAGCTTGCTTTTCCGAAACTGCAATAACGGTCGTAGCTGTAACTTCTTTCTCAGCAACGTCAGTCTCACCAGAAACGGCTTTCACCAAAGCAGCAACAGCGGTGGTACCAGTGGTAACCGCCTTTCCTAAAGCAACATCAGAGGTCGTAGTATCCATGCTGACTGCGCCGCCAGGAGCAGCACTAACGGCAGTAACGGTCGTAGCGAGAACTTCTTTCCCTGTAGCATCAGTCTCAACTGAAACCGCTTCTACCAAAGCAGCGTCAATGATGGTGCCAGTGGTAACCGCCTTTCCTGAAGCAGCAGCGATCGTAGCATCAGTGTTGAATGCGTTTCCAGAAGCAGCATTAACGGTAGGAGCAGCACTAACGGCAGGAGCAGCACTAACGGCAGGAGCAGCAGTAACGGCAGGAGCAGCAGTAACGGCAGGAGCAGCAGTAACGGCACCAGCTACCAGAAGGGTGGATAGAACACCAGTGTCCTGTTCGGAACACGAGGGATGGGAGAGCGGCTTGGAACAGGAGGTCGCAGCGAGCAGATCGTCCGTGCTGACAGCGACCGACTTGCTGCTGACGCTTGGAAGGATGGGGCATTCAAGGTCCGCCTTCACAGTGTCACTGCCAACGTCAACGCTTTTGAAAGATCCCAACGCTTTTGAGGGAGTTGGGAGCAGATCGTCCGTGCTGACAGCGACCGACTTGCTGCTGACGCTTGGAAGGAGAGCTTTGAGGTCCGAACAAGATGTTTGAAGATATTCGACGTCTGCCTTCAAGGTGTCACTGCCCGCGCTAACGTTCACGTTAACGTCAGCGTTTCCGTCAACGTTGATGTCAACTTGTAACGGATTCAGTTCCTGGAAGATAAAAGCGTCATGGAAATCGTCGTCTGTGGAGAGCGCGATGACGTCACCGTCTGTGTCTGTGTACGTCAGCGAGAACGGCTTGCTGGCGGGGATGTCGAGAGATGCGCGAATCCGCAGGCTGACGTGACGGAACGTCGGAGGGTAGCAGCGGGATGAGATGCGACGCAAAACGCCGTTGCAGTTCACCTGAGTAAATCAGGAGTGGGAGGGGGAGGAAAGAGTGGAGTGGAGAGTGAAGAGAGGGAGGAGGACACGTGAAGCGGAGAAAGGGGAAACGAGCTTAATTTGAAAGGTTTCATGGATGGGAAGGTGCGTGGTGGGATGCCAGAAAAATGCATCTCAAGGCGGCGACTTCGGTTTCGCAATTAGTCCGTAAGATGACGAACGTAAGAGTGACTTAACTCGACCGAAACCGTGAAGAACTACGCCCCATAGGAAATATATGAAGTCGATAGGATTAAACTCCATAAAAGTTCGAACAGACTTCAAGCAGGAAGCATAATCTAGAAGTTCACTAACTACTCTAGGACGCGTTGACAGCACAGGGTAGCTAACATTTTCGTTCACCTTCATGACATAGAGGGTCGGCATGGTGGCAACGCCAAACCGAACGTGGGAAATGATTCTATACACCACGCGGAGCGGCGTATCACACAAAAGTTCCCATCAGTGGTTGTCTGGCAACGGGATGTCTGAACGAGAAATATTCAGCACCTACTACGAATTTGAAAGCCGTCCACACACCACTATGGCTGAAAATCTGACGAAATGGGGGAAGATACAGGCGTTTGTTCTACTACCAGAATGAACAAAAACAGGAAGAAGCGGATGCTAGGAATCTGGAGGCGTTTGACTAGGAACCTTGTTAGTGCTAGTTGTGCTGTGCTGATGCTGCTGCTTGTCTAGGAATCCTGCCCTGCTGAAAGGAGACGAGTGATGGGTGAGTATGGTGTTGGTGGGTGCGATGCGGTGATGATGGAGAATGGATGGTCGTTTGTGTATTGCCCAATTCCCTTGGTCGCGAGCGCGATTCAACGTTAGATAGCGAAAGGTCTGACATGTTCTCAACGGTTACACCATCGGACGGCGACCACAGGCCCTGAAGGTGCACCCTCGCTCCACACGGTGCAGTTTGATGCGATACAAAGTTCATTCTTACAGATTGCCTCACATATTAAAAAACTCACACTACACAGCGACTGAATTCACAACTTCACAACGTCTTGTACAGAAATTGCAGCCATGATACATCTATATACACGACACTATACTTTGAGCAGCAAATTATTTGGTAT